CACCTGTGCCCTGTCGCGTCTAACTTGGCTGTTGACAAGACATATGTGAGGGGATTATTACCAGTTCTAACCTCAAAATGATTGCCATATAGATACTCATGAAACTTATCACACACAGCCCATTTGAGTGCCAAAAACTCCAATTTATGTGCTGGGTAATTTTTCTCTGATTTCCTCAATGCACGACTAGCATAAGCAATCACTCGTTCCTTGTCATCTTGGTGCTGATACAAAACTGCTCCCAACCCTTCACTACTGGCATCTATATTGAGAATAAAGGGTTTGGAATAATCAGCATACGCAAGTACTGGTGGTGAAGTTAAACACTCTATCAGCTGATTAAAAGCTGCTTGATGTTCAAAAGTCCATTGTAACTTTGACTTAGATTTGGCTTTACCTTTCTCCAGTTTTCCATGGAGTAAATCAGTCAGAGGTTTGGCCACTCTCGCATAATTCTGAACGAACCGACGGTAATAACCAGTGAAACCTAGAAATTTCTGCAACTCCTTGACAGTTTCAGGAACTGGCCATGATTTCAAAGATTCAACCTTATCTGGATCAGTTTCTACTCCTTCTGAGGATACAACATGCCCAAGATACTTGACCCTGTTTCTGAAGATTTCACATTTGGACGGCTTTAACTTCAAACCATGTTCCCTCAACCTCCGAAATACAGATTCAACTCTAGTCAAGTGTTGTTCAAATGTTTGTGAAAATATGATTATATCATCCAGATAGATCAAACATTCTTTCAGGTGTAAATCGCCCATACATCTCTCCATTAACCTCTGAAACGTTGCTGGGGCGTTGGTCAAACCAAAAGGCATCAAATTGCATTCAAAAAAATCCCAAGGGACCTGCAGAACATGCTGTTTTCTTCTTATCTGATTCACGTAATTCTACTTGCCAGTAACCTGAACTTAAATCAAGCTTAGAGAACCATTTTGATCCAGCAAGACAATCTAAAGTTTTGTCAATCCTTGGCAATGAATAGGAATCCCGAATGCTTTTAGCATTAATCTTTCTCATGTCAATGCATACTCTTAGACTGCCGTCTCTCTTACGAACCAATACAATATTTGAAGAATAGGGGCTATGACTTTCACTTAATGGCTCCACACTCAAGCATATTCTTAAGATGTTGCCTAACTTCCTCAAATAAAGCCGGGGTATTCTACGGTATGGTTCCTTGAAAGGCACATCATCCTTAAGATTGATCTCATGTCTAACTGTTGTAGTATGGCCCAAATCTAGAGAATGCTGAGACATAATATCTGTCCATCGACTAAGCATATCCTGTACTTGACCTCTTTGATCACCAGACAAGGGGCTATCTGCTAAATCAATAGTAACAGGCTTCTCATCCATAGCACCGACTGAAGAATCATCACTACCATCTTCCAAATCCAAAGGCAAACAATCCATAACCTGAACCTCTTGCAAACTACATAGCTCTGCTTTTATGAGGAAGTGTAATAGTTCTAGCAGACAAATTGCAAACCTTGACATAGACAGTAGCAGTCTTACGCTGACCATCAATTTCTACAACTCTAGGACAAACACCTAAACCCTCAGGGCTAATCTGCAACTGCTCCGTCACAGCACAATGTTTACCTGGAGTAGTATGCACTATACCCTTCAAAGTGGTCGCCACCCTAGGTTGCAGAGTAATAGGATGCTTACTGGACGACTTGACAGTACCTAAACTAGCTGAGCTTAAGTAATCAAATACCATCTGCCAAGGCTCTGAGACAATCTGAGGTGCATTAGAATAGAACAATCTAATAGTGTTTGTACCAAGAATCATCGGAACCTGGGCACTAAACTCGGTATCCTTGACTACCAACACTGGTATCATGTAAGTTCTATCATTAAATGGGACACCAACGGAGAGTTCAATATAGCCAGTGTAATGGAGTATATCACCAGTAGCTAACCTTCAACTGAAACTCTTCTATGGGACGTAACCTAAGATCATTTAAGTTCTGATAGTAGAAAGACTCTGAAACGGTAGTAACTTGAGATCCTGTATCTAGCAAAACAACACATTCATCGCCATTGACAAGAACAACAGTTTGTACACTAGGGCCTACCATTCTAGAAAACAAGTCATTGGAGCGATCACGTTCACCGACAACTGTTTGCTCCTCAACAGAAGTCTTTAATGGTTTAAATCTGTATGACCATGATCACCAATAATTCCTCTACCACGACCTCTGTATTTACCACGACCATGTCCACGAGGATTACCTGAAGGATTAGACGGACCAACTTTACTTTCAATAGCAGCTAACCTCTGTACGATCTCACTGACATCTTTTTCTAGCTTCGATGAAGTAGACTGACTCAACGCCTTCTGATTTTTTTCTAAGGTATCAATTCTCTTGAGAATATCCTTTAAGTGTTGAGAAACATCTGAATCAGCAACTTGAGAACTAGTATACACTTTCTTGTGTCTAACATCCTTGACCTTAACAGATCCAGTAAGTTCCTGTTCAGTTTCCCTGACAACTCTGAGTAAAGAATCAAAATCTGAACAATTATCAAACTTATGCCTTGTTGCATCCTTCAGTCTATCATTCCTTATACCACTCCAAAACTTTGTTTTCAAGATACACTCAAGAGCATCCTCATGCATAAAGTCACCCTTAGATTTAACTTTCAACAAAGTATCTTGAAGTCTACAGGACCAAGTTGCCAACGATTCACCTTCCTTCTGGCAATCAGTGAAAAAATTCTGCAGCAACGTATCAGCTGAACTAACAACACCATAAATACTGTCAAGCTTACTCAAAATATCATCCACTGATGCATGTTCACCAAGCAAAAGGACAGCTCTACCAGCTTCACCCTTTAACGACTTCCTAACGCCCTGTGCTATGATAGAGGCTGGATAATCCCTACTATTCAACAAGCACTTAACTTCAAACATCCAATTCTCAAACGAAGACTCCCCCTTGGCATCACTACCTGAGAATACAGATATACGGGGTGGTTGAATGTATTGTGTGTTAGGTGGTAACAGAGAACTTGCCCGATGTCTGGGACTGGAAGGTTGAACCTGATATCCTGAAGTCTCTATGTACTGGATCATCTTTTGAATATCATCCTCACTAACTCCAGCCTTGCTACGTTTGGATTCCCAATCCTCTTCAGTTCCGCCAGTGGCCATTGCTGAAAGGGTCAGTGATAAAAGTAGACAAATAAATACAAGTCCTGAAAATCTAAAATACATCAGTCAGCAAACATCAAACTTCCACTAATAAGGATAAGAATCACATCTGGTTCCCCAAGACTGTCAGCTCTGAAAACAAAGTCAAAGTATTAACAACATGGTATCAAATTGTGTTCATAATTCAAAAATGTGCAATGCAGTTGTTAAGACAGTTAGGCATGTGATAATTTCCCTATGACAATTCTCACACTCGCACCAAACTTTCAATCTCCTATCAAAAGTCTAAGCTAAGATGGACTAGCAAAACATTTCAAAACTATTCACTGTGTAAATAGTATAAACTCATTTTCAACTATTCCGAAACATGAAAGCAGTAATGTCACAACCCAGAACTACTTCACGTATTACTTCAGTGGCATGTTAAACAAATGGCACAATAAACATTAAACACACGTGAAATTAAATTATTCTATAGTGAACAGCTGAAAAAGAAACAGAATGGTCAATACATTGATCAAATGTTCAACAAAAGTCCATGTGACTAGTCACGTTCAAACGTTCAACATAAGTTCATGTGATAAAAGCATCACAAAAAGTCAACTTCCACACGCGGAAACGCGAAGCAATCCATGGATAGTATTCATGAAACAATATAGTCAGTCACAGAATAACACAAGTGAAAGTCATTCCAAAATATCAAATAAATGTCTGTTCACAATATATTATGTACATCGCGAACGCCAAACGCGAAAGTGTGCACACCTATGACGGGTAGTACTAGTACTTTCGACATACTGTTAATAGTACTACTGCCGGCAACGTATCATGATGTTATCGGGCCCTACCACAAAACCTGGTCACCAGAACACTGACAGGAATACTGTATCCATCGATGAAACGATGCCCATGGCCAGTGGTTAAAGTTGTCATGATGCTGTGGCAGTCATGTAGTTATGGCGGTCATGTTGATGTTATGGCTGTCAAGTTGTTGAGAACACCAGCCCCACGTTAGCCAAAATGTCGCAGGGTTTTATAACATGACCTCTGGACTGGTGTTCAATCGCTTTATTCTGCCATTTGGGGTTGGTCAAACACGACCGTGCCATAAATGTATCTGTAATTAGGGAAATTACATGAAGGGCTGCCACTGCCAGCATGGTGTGTCCATATATCAATACAACAAGTAAAACTATTGTGACATTTTACATAAAATATTATATATCTGAAAGTTAATGGTTACTAAACCATTAAATGTATTTAACTACAGGGTTCCACCTGGTTACTAAACCATTAAATGTAATTATTTAAATACAGGGTTACACCTGACTTAATTATAAGAAATTGTTATAATATGAACAATTCAAACAAACTTGCGTACCTGTAATTAGGGAAATTACATGAAGGGCTGCCACTGCCAGCATGGTGTGTGCCGGGCACATGGCACATGCAGCTTTTATATCACCTGAGTGCACAGACTGCAGGAGCAGCATGTGCCAGAGCCCAGGATGTACCTGCCGGCAGCCAGCTCATCTGTATGGCAAGCTGTTAGGGACAAAAATTGTAAAATGTGCCAGTGGTGCTGTGCTGTACATTGTGTGAACAATTGAACCTGTGACATGTATATAAAGTTTAGTAGAGTCAAGGAGAAAGTCTTGTGAGCTGCTGAACCTTGTCACATTATATATATCAATATCAGTCATTTCTATGTCCCAAAGTGGGAAGCGGGGGTATGTGAGCTGTGCTCACTTCTACACTTGTTACCTGCAGTGTAGAGTTGATTGCAATTCTAGTAGCAATGAAAAAATGGTTATTGTGTGCATTACAGGCAACCGAGGCTTGGGAAGGTCTGTGGCAAGCAAGGGACGAAGTAGCAAGGTAAGTTTCTGCTTCCTGTTAATTATAGTGACTTGAAGAAAAGAAGTCAATATTACATTATCAATTTATATGTATTTATATTTGTATGTATTTAGAAACCAAATTGATAACACCATGCCACTTACTGCAAATCAGAAAAAGTTAGATTTTACACAATTCTGCAGAAAATATTTTATTACACCATACTCCTTCCCCCAAAAAGGAGACTTGACAGATCCATCTATCACATGTTTGAATACACACTACAAAATATTCACAGTGTGTTTGACAAACCTCGTGTCATCTTATTGCTCTTCCAATGACATAATTTATAGAGAGCAGAAGGGGGCAATAAAAGGGATGTTGGGGGTGCAAGGATCAACTTCTTGTACAGAAAATGATTTTGGAAGAGGCTAAAACATATCACTGCAACCTCTCTATGTGCTGGATTGACTACAAAAAGGCATACGACTCTGTCCCTCATGAATGGATTCTGAAGTCTCTTCGTTGTACTGACCTCCCTGAGTAACTACTTGATTTGCTCAAGTCTTGCTGGTCGACCAAACTTGAGATGTACTCTCAAGGGCAGGTGCAGACTTCAGAATCTATTCCAATCAGAAGGGGATATTTCAAGGGGACTCCTTCAATCCTTTGCTTTTTTGTTTGTCTTTAAATCCTTTGAGCTTTCTGCTCAAGAAAGAGGTGGGTTATCCAGAGATGCCAACCTCTATGATTTTATTGTAGTCGCTACGCATTTTAGCCTCAAACTACGCCAATACGTTTGCACTAGAAATTCGACAGAATTTGAAAAAAAATCATTAAAATTTGGACATATGGAATAAAAACATCTTCATCGATTAAATACATCTTCACCAAAAAGAGACGACAAGAAGAAATGTAATGCTGATCATTTGGAAATCTTCTGTTGGAGGTATATCAGTCATTCCAGCATAATTGACTCACTTGTGATTACACATACACCAAAATATAAATATCTAATATTAATGAAATGACATTTATTTCTTGAAAACAAACATCCAACCTATTCAAAACAAAAATTTCACTCGTAAGATATTTTGTTTTTCGAGATATACCACCTTCAAATGTACCTTCTTATACTTCTGTTACGGAGGTGAGAATAAATATATGCTTCAGATTTATTCTCTCCCAATTACGACAAGCCAGTTACATATTTGTCAAATTAAAGAGGAATATGTATTCTGTTGAAGCACAATAAACTTTGTTTACCTCAAGCTTTTATAATCAGATACTGTTAAAGGTCACATGCAACCAAAAAAACAAACATAGTTAAAACACAATTATCACTTATTCATAACATATAATATACATTGGTGATTACGAAAAAAACAAATAAACAAAATTATAAGGCACCGTTCATAATTTATGGCTAGGGGGGTGATGATGATTATAAGGGGGCATCACCCATTTTGTTCTGGCGAGCTAGGGGGGGTCATCAGTTTTGTACACACTAACTGGAGGGGGGTCATCTATTTTGTACCAGAGCTATAGATAACATTTTGGGTCATTGAGTTATGTACTCACTTGTGTTCATCTCAATTGGGTATCCTAATTTTCCTTTGATTAATCAAATAAATTGTACTCTCCTCACTCAAACTCAATTGGGTATTTTGCCATTTACCATTAAGTTTGAAAATATAATAAAATAATATAATATAATAAAGCTTAGTGTTTGTTAGTTATATTTGATCTGTAATATGAGAAACGATAAGAAAGACTGCAAGTTTTAAGATAGGCCAGTAGAAACTGCACTGAACCTAGACATTTCTGATAACAGGCCAAATTTGTGTTTAACCTGACCAGAAGGGTGTTATTGGTCACCATAAAAAAACCAAAGAAAATCAAGGTTTGGGAAATATATTTTTTGTGCATGGTGTTGGGGGTGGGGTCTATTGTCCTTTCACCCACATTTCAGCAAAGAATGCGCTTGTCACGGCTACATAGTTCATAACATATTTTTGGTTTATCTTCATACTGGTTAGTATTTTCATTTATAAACAAGCCTACTTTCAACAAAATGTACAATATTTTAATTATTTACCGATGTCGGCCATCTTGAATTTAAAATGGCCGCCATTTTTAATTCAAGATGGCCGCCATATCACAATCAAGAAGGTCAGCTTCCATTGACTCTACTGTCATGAGGTCGTGAATCTCAAGGTTTATGGTTTCAATAATTTTTGTTATATTTCATTAACTTGCTCTTTACATTACCTCATTTCAATAAGAAACATTCACTGACATCAATCTTTTGCAATGTTTGAATGAGTTTTGGATCAAAACTCTGTGTGAAGGAAATGGAGCGAGATGCAAAAACTGTTTGCCTTTCTTGACATCAGTTTGCTTCTGGTTAATCCTGTCTATCAAATACATTGTTGTACCTGACTGATGCTGTTGGCAATCTCATAATACACTGGATATTTTTGGACAGTATCATTCCACATGTGATCGTCAATGCAAGCTCCATTAATTATGACATATGTATACGTATCCATTTTCTGTCAGTTACACTTTATTTCGAGGCGTGAGTAGACAGAATATGATAGTGATTGCTGTGAATAATGCGGGCCGAAGTTATAAATATCTGAGGGACACACGATTTCACTGCAGCTAATAGAAACATTCTTTTTTAACATTTTGAGTAAAATTACCGTCTCGTTGTTGATACCAACAGTGATTGTTATGACATAAAAAAAGAAAACAAACACAGGTGCACATTATGGATCAGAAAAATCTTTATTAGAACGGTAACGGTAACTGCCAGTTGTCTTGTGGTCTGAGTTGGCCGCAATTATTACCCCAACAGAAGTCATCAGAACATAAATACCAGCAATTGAAGATATACAGAGATGAAATAACAAAGCAGCAATGCAAAATCTATACAAGTGAGCAAGCACAACTAATGTCCATGAGACAGAAATTCACACAAACTTATTTTTATTAGATTTATTATTATTATTATTATTATATGATATTTGTATAGCGCCAATATCCAGCTTAGCTCAGCAATGCGCGTTGTTTTTCCCTCGATCATAGGATGTCAATCTCAACGGCACATCATATTTTTCAACCTCAACTCCCTGAGGACCATACAACTCTTGCAGCCATTTAGGCGCACAAAGTTAATGTGGCTTTCTCATCCTTACGAGAAACCCATTCACAGCTGGGTGGACTGGGACACATAGTCACAGTACGTTGTCCAAGTTTAGTGCATGTTGCTGTACCCGCAACTTGGTGTTTGCACGTATTCATGCGGACACCATCTGGTCATATACCAACAGATTCGTGGGTTCTTTTAAGTGTACAGGGTTGTGTACTGTACACTAGGGGTTGTGACAACACTGAAAGAGTCTGTACACAAAGTTGACTCCAGGTGGGCTCGATCCCGGCACCTTAAGCTCGCTGGATCACTAGCCTGGCGTCTTAGATCGCTCGCCCATTGCAACCAACTATTTATAGATATAAGTTGTTACTGTGACTTCATGAATAGATTGGTTGCATGTTTGCTGTGATAAATCAGTGCCACCAAGACATCTGTGTCATCCGCTTCATCTATGTCATCCACTTCTGTGTTGTTCTGTGCATGACACTATCAACATAGATCTTGCATATGTCAGCAATGGTACCAATCCTTGGCCATGGTATATGCTGGAGAAGTGCACATCCAACGACTACACCTGGTGTTGTGTGTGTTCTTCTTCTTTGTGGTACCGGTAATGTGTAAGCAGATATCTGGCCAGGACAGACTTGGGCATTTTCTCATGGATCCATCATCATGGAAGAAAGCTGGTGACACTGTTGCAAGTTCAAATGAGAAGACATCTGGAGATGGAGGACCACTCACAAGAGTTATTGATAGTAATCGCTGACACAGCTCCATTGATGACATCCTCGGCTGTGCCCCGTCTGATAGGCGGACACACTTCTTCATGGTGGTAAATCAAATGTGACTACTTGTGATGCCTTCTTCAACACCTTTCCAAATGTCATCCCTGTCATATTTGTGCAGAGAGCAGTTATTTGGTTCATGCTGAATCCTTGTGGGTGATGTTGATTAAGTCTCCTTGAATTTTGCCTGCTCTGATTAGACATTGCTCTATGACTATGTCTCTCCTTAAGTGTCACTCCATAATTGCTTTGGGTTTCTTCTGATTGTAAACAGACCAGCTTCCATAATTACTTTCAGACAGGAGCACAGACAAAGACAATCCTGAAGATACAATGTGCAGAATTTGGCATAGTTGTTGTGTCCAGATGCTGCAAACAGGGGTAACATGCCTCCTGTTGGTTGCTTTCAGATGTAACTGCCAGTTCCCAGTGCGCTCTGCACTTATAAACATCCTTACAATGGAAACAAAAGCTTACTTGTCCTTGATGGTGATTTCTTCTGATCTTTCAGTTCAAGCAGTTGCACATGAAGCTGTTTGAGATTTTCATGGGCTGTATTATCAACTTGTGATTCATGATTCATGATTCATGTCTGTCAAGGTCACAACGCTTGGTCTCCCCTATACTTCTGCAATAGTGATCCTTGATCCAAAATACTAAAGGAGGCGGCGTTTAAAATGCTTCAAACTGTAGGGTGAGATCCCAGTAAGCAGATCAGCAGCATACAGATCCAACAGCTACTGTAGAGTGTACAGCTTTCCATTCTGCATACTTTCTGGCAGCAGCTCACACCAGGAACTGAAGGCTGTGTTCTTAATCTTTCTTGCTGAATCCTCAGGGTTTGTCCTTGCTGTCCTTTCATGCTCATGCAAAAAACACTCCATGCAATGTCTGTGGTATGTTGCCTCAACTGCACCAATGTTACCAGCTGGAACATCAACTGCCTTATCATCAAAGATCTTCTCTCACAGAAGTTGAGAACGGTCTCTTGCAGAATACTTTTTTCCCTCTGCTGAAAATATTGATATTGCTGATTGCTGAATTTCTATTTGGATGTTATTGAAGGTCTTCCAAATCACTCCCATTTGCATAAA